CAAAGCACACTGGTAAAAGGGCATGCGATAGGCGGAAGGGCAAGCAAACAACTTAAGGCAGCGAGGAAAACAACAGCAAGACTAACGACGACAAGGCAGCAAAGCATAAAGGCTGGAGGGCAAGGGGGAGGCGGGCGGGCAGGCAAACAGCACAAAGCCACAAAGCACACAGGGTAAAAGGCATGGGGTAGGCGGATGGGCAAGCAAACATCGTACGGCGACGAGGGAAACAACAACAAGACAAATGACGACAAGGCAAAAACAATGCCCCAAAAAAACAAGTATAAACGAGGCAAAGACTGAAAAAAATAAAAACTGATGATAGATTGTTTCATCGGAATTGCACCGACTCATCAGGAGGCTGAACCCTCGACAATCTGCCGCATCCCCGGTTTTGGATGCGTTAGGTCATGAAACCTTTGACCCCTGTTGAAGGCAGGTTGCCCACAAACGGAACACGGCAGCAGCGAGTGACGCCGTTGTGAAGCACCAGGCAACACACTCAACGCCAGAGCACTACGCAACACCAAAGACGGCTGCAAGCGGGACACCACGCAAAGCAAGAGGGATGGACAGCAAGATAACGGTGGCACGCAGACAGCACAAGGCAACCCACACATCCAACACAGAGCCAAGCAACACATGACCTACCCACATCACGGGTAAACACCGCAGACTGTTGGTTCCCACCACCCAATGAGCCAAAGAGTCACCCCAACGGACAACCATCATCACCTACAGGCAAGTAGTTCAGCAACCGTGCAGCGAAGCGAGGCACCGCCACAAGGTTACCAAACCACAAGGCATGCGAGCAAAGGACACGAGAGGCACGACCCGCAGGTAGTCAGCAAGGCAGCAGAGCAACGGGGACAACCTGCAAAGCAAGCGGCACGGGCAGCAAGACCGCGGCAGAGCGCAGACAAGAAGTCTACACATCCAACACGGAGCAAAGCAGCACATGACCTACTCACATCACGATAGAACCCCGCAGACTGTTGGTTCCCACCACTCGCTGAGCTAGGGGAACACGCCGACGACCATCCGTCATCACCGACAGGCAACACAGATAACTCGAACCGAGCAGTCCCCCTAAGAGTGCAGTTGGCACTCCAAACGAGGAACCACCGACTGTTTAGCACTACTAGGGGGTGCTCAGCTAGAGACAAGCGTACTTACAGAAAAAATATAGGAAAGAGAAGAAAAACAAACATACCAAAAACAAAGACAAACATACCAAAAACAAGGACAAACAAACTTTTATAAAATTGATTGTGTGTGTGTGTGTGTGTGTGTGTGTGTGTGTGTGTGTGTGTGT